CATTCATCATGTGGTATAAAGGCTCATAAAAGTAAAAATATTTCTTTCTACCTTTTGCTTAACTAATTTCAAGACAGTGAACGTCCGTCCTTTACTTTAGAGAAAAACATCAGCTTTGGATGTTATTCTTGCACCATTTAGAGAGAGCATAAAAAGAACGCTTGCTTTCCTTAGTCTTTTATATTCCTTTAATACTTACCTCTATCTATATATATATATATATATTTTTTTTTATTTTTTGTAATTTTTGCTTTTGTATCTTTTTTTATTCCTCAAGGATCTTTTAGTTGCATATTTTCAGAACGACGTCGAAATAAATGCATGAGTATCTTATTTTAACCATTTCTTTTTTTTTTTCTTGTTTATTTTTTTTTTTATGGTTTTATCGTTAATGTTGCTGAATTTTTAAACTTTGTTTTGAACACAGTCGAAGTCGTGCTGCGCGTAATTCCAGTGGCACAAACTTCAATAACCAACCCAACAACCAACAGTTGAATCGCATAAATTGAAAATTGTCTGTCCGTTTAAGTATCGTCATGGAGCTACACATCTGGTCTGGTTTGTTCTGGTCTGATCACTATGTTGTTGTTTTGGGATTTTCTTTTGCTCTTGACTTTCAGGAATTTAGCGTATGAAATAGCTACGCGACGCCAAGAATTTTTCGTTTCTTTTTAATATCTGTAATGCTCCCCGCTTCAAAATATGCTCATCTATATACTTACATATATAATGCCATACTTTACAATTTTATATAGATATTTTTGTTTTTGCTTTTGCTTTTGTTTTTAATTTTATTTTTATTTTATTTTATTTTGTAAATTTCAGATTCATTTCTTTGTTTTGCTTCATTTTAAGTTTTATTTTTATTTATACGTATTTTTTTTTTTTTTTTATATAATTTTTGTCTACTTTTCCTTTACTTGAATGAAAAAAGTATCTAATTTGATTTCTTTGTATCTTTTTCGTATTCAGTTATATTTGTTTGTTTGTTTGTGTGTAAGAGTTCGACCAAGAATGTGATTAATTTATGCAATATTTTTTTTTGTCTTTGTTTCGTTCCTTTTTCTTTGCAGTAAAATAAACAATTTCTTTTGAAAGTACTTTTTTTAATATGTATACATTTTTTTTACTGAATATGATTTAAACATTCTTGAAATATAAACAATGTCTATAAATATCATATCAGAATTTTACTTCTGACAAATAAAATAATGTTTTCTTTTAAATCCCTACAGGCTGCATGCCTGATGGTACCTGAATCTCAAGAATATGGTACATAACATATATTGCTTTCTTTCTTTTAAATTTCCCTTGGCTATGGTAACGTTGTATGGTATCCCACAAATGAAATGTTGCTTTCCTTTTTTGAAATCTTTCCTAGCTAAATCTTGTTGCCTGATGGTACCTGAATATCAAGAATATGGTACATAACATATATTGCTTTTTTTCTTTTAAATTTCCTTTGGCTATGGTAACGTTGTATGGTATCCCACAAATGAAAAATTGTTTCCTTTTTTGAAATCTTTCCTAGCTAAATCTACGTGCCTGATGGTACCTGAATTTCAAAAATATGGTGAATATCAGAGAAGTTCTTACAAAAAAAATATTGTTTTCTTTTAAAGGGAATTTAAATCCCTTTGGCTATGGATACGTGTCTGATGGAACCTAAATCTTGAAAATATGGTAGATATCAGTGCGATTCCCGCATATAAAATATGGCTTTCTTTCTTTTAAGCTCCCACTGGCTAAGTTTACGTCACTGACGGTACCTGAATCGTGAAAATATGGTAGATGTTAAAGACGTTCTCGTAAATCAAATATGTATATCTTTTAAATTCTCCTTGGCTATATGCTTGTTCGTAACCAAATCTCAAAATAATGATAGATGTCAAACAATCCATTGAAAAAAATATTAATTTCTTCATTTTAAATTCTACGTGATTACCTGATAGTACCCGAAACTGAAAAATATGTTGGATGAAGATCCAAAATTTAACGTGGATACCGTGAGCTGAAAGGCTCAACACCACGGTTTTCTTTATACACGCATCTGTATATTGCGCTGATGAACCCTCCATTGGAACTCCGAAGAATACCGCCGGTAACATAGTTCAAGTTATGTCTTTGGGCACAATTTCCTTCGTGGTGAGGAGTGAGGCCTATTTAAAACCTCTGCTGATCTTTGGGTCAAAGTAACCGGTTGAAAAATGCAACTTCACATTAACCACAACCACCACGACGCTCTTTACTAAGGAGCCAACCTCAATGGTCAGAGTAGCTGAAGCTGTGGGCTGAAATCATCCACCTTATACACGTAATGCACCTATTTATACATATTGCCTTACAATATCAAATGTATCTAGTCTGTTAAAATTCTCAGCATTAGCAAGTATCGTACTAATATCATGTCCATCTGCGCTTCTCCCAATTCAATCGCCTAACCCTGTAGTACAGAGTACATTTTAAAACACAGATGACGACTTGCTGACTTATGCAGCTATTATATAGTACAGGTGTTCTCTATTAAACTGACTGTTAATTTGTCTCTGGAATGCAGCCATATTTCATAGTGGTGGGTACCTATCACATGAACAAATTCCATTTATTTAAATATGTCTTAACAAAACAGCACAAATTTGTTATGACGTATGAATATTAATTAATAAATTTCTGTGTTTTTGCTAAAAAAAAAGTAGTAGGTAGGTAGGTAGTAGATCACTATAGAGACCCATTATCGGAAATCGGTGCTTGATTAAAGGAAAATACTTATATAAAGCATTAATATTCGAAGACTTAATTAAACATTTTATTAAAATTTTTGATATATAAGTTTGGTTACTACTTTAGAATAAGGTTCTTTTAGGTAATAAATTAAAGGATATTTAATTAATTACAAATTGGTTATTTAAATAAACCGTTTCTAATTTTTCGCTATTCTTTAACTGAACGTATCTCAGTAAATTTTAAAAATGAATCCTCATTGCTATATGGATTTTTTGCTAGTTTTGAGTCAACTTAGGAAATTATGAGGAGTATACCGGAAACGTAGTGTATATAGTACATATGACATGATATATAAATGCATATATAAGTATATAAGTATATGTATAAATATATATATAAGTATATGTATAAATATATATATAAGTATTTTTTTTTGAATTTCTGAAATATTTAATTACTAAATAATATCAGAAAAACAAGCATCAATAAATTTTGAAAATTGATCAAAATTTAAATTTATTATCAATTTCATATTCCAAACGAAAAGTTTACCCTAAAATTTTGTTCATATTTTCATTTTCTGATTATTTTTTGCAGCACTTTTATGCTCTTTTTTTTCCTTTTTTCATCGTTTTGTAATTCAGAATTGATGATCTTGTTTGGAATGTTGACAGTGCCTTGCGACTCTGGCTGCTGTTCTGGTGTTACTAAGACTGCTGTTGCTCTGTGCTCATGCCAAGTGTAGAATTTGGCTGACTTGGCTATATAATACATATTCGATACAAACATTGGCTATGAAGGCATATACACAAACGTTCATACAAACCAAATACAAATTTCTTAGCAATTTTAAAATACAATTTTAAAAAATTCCAAATGTTTATTTATTTTATTTTGATCTCAATTGTTTGACAATGATGCCTCCTCCTCGTCTGCTGTTATCTCTGGTTTAATTTTTAAACGTTTGGTTGTTTATTATGATATTGTTGTTGTTGTCTTTCTTTGCGTGTGTCCTTTAGATATAGCACCATTTGTAATTTATTTATATATTTTGTAGCTTAAAAATTTTTTAAGTAATTTGTCAACATTGATCTTTGCTTGCTCTTTGACATTACTTGGCTTCTTGAAAATTTATTTAAATATATAAATTAATATTGAGATAGCAAATTTTGTACGAAAAGATATCAATAGATCTTTTGAATAATCTGAACATTGTAATGTCTTTTAAGAAGAAGTTATCACTATTAGCTATAACAATATATGTTTCTTTTTACACTAAAGAATGGGTTTAATATAGTCCTTATTTAAAAATCGTCAACTGATTGTAGCTTATTCATTGAAAATAATCCAGAGACTTGTTCATTCTCTAGCGGAGATGAAAATAAATAGTTTATTCATTAAAAACAATCCAGAAGATTGTGCATTCTCCAGAGGAGATGAAAATAAGTCTGCTGATAGTGACTTGAAATATAATACAGAGTACTATAGTCTGACGATACTCGTATATATTGCTGTGTATGATTCTAATAAAATTACATAAATTATACAGTGAAAATTCACGTGAGCAAACACTCATCACAACCCAATTTTTTGTTCATCCAAGAGAGGTATTGAGGATCTTGATCAATTACAAGACCTGACACTAAAAAGCATTTTGAGCTTCGCCAAATGTTCCAGGTGATTTTAAACCCTGAATTTTTTCTCTATATATGGTAACACAATGGGTCAATAGGCTTAAGGGGATCCCCTAGGGATTGCCGGTATAACCTAAGGTATTGATCAAAAAGGGGTTCAATTCTTTCAAATAATATAGAAAGAAGTGTAGCTGCTCATCTAAAAGTTACGTCCTCTAGGAGAGTTTGTGTTGTATCAAGTTTTGAGAGCTTCATTTTTGAAAAATCACGTTGGGATTACTAACTTAAGCACCTTTAAGTTTGTTAAAATGTGCCAATAGGTTTCTTAATCAAGAGGTCACTTTATTAATGATTATCTATAAAGATTTGAAGGTATATTTGTTAGATAGGCGGATAACACCTATCTATATTATGTAGAAAGTACCACTAGTATAAGTCACAGACATATTGGTTTTTTTTTTGTTTTACAGCATAAGTCTATTTTTATTAATTTATTAAAATTGTGATTTTAAATTAATAATTAATTTTGCTCTCCAAATTTTAGAAGACTTTAAAAATACAAACTGATTTTAAAACTATCATGTTAATAACATAATATATACCTATGTCTTATTTTTGAAATGTTGTATTTTTTCATTACAGAATTCTCTTTCGCGTATCAATGGACGTTCCGATGTCTACGACTATCAATATTCAAAGCCGCCGATGGAGCCACCATCGTCGGCAACACCATCACCTGCAGTACTGTCGGCGGCTCAAATGAATGGCCATGTACCAAAAGTATTAACAACATTAATACCAACAAAATTAAGTCGAAAGCCGAGCATAGAACGAGAAATTCCTTTAACCTGCCTTAGATGTAGTCCTGCATTGGATTCTGGTGCGGGCAGTTCCCGATCAGACAGCCCGCATTCACATCAGCAAGTTACATGTGTTAGTCGTGCAAGCACTGGTCCATATTCACCATCGCCATCAAATTTTAGTGATGTTGGACCACCTGCGCCACCACCAAGAAATCCTACTTTATCTTCATCTGCGACTCCACCACCACCACCGCCTTCGAATCAACTATATAAACGTCGTTCACCAGCTACAACCCGCCCTGCTGCTATTACTCCAAATCCAACAAGGGGCACTTCTCCTGTTATACCACAAAATGGCATTAAAGCCCAACAACAATTGTCACAACAAATGAAAGCATTAAGTTTATACCAGTCCGGTGGTAGTGCTGTAGAACCGCCACCACCTTATCCTATAAATACTATAAATACCGTCGTAGTAACTACTTCTGCACCGCCACCAAGCTATACAGCCTCTATGCAATCGCGTCAATCACCGACGCAATCGCAATCAGATTATCGCAAATCCCCCAGCAGCGGAATATATTCTGCTACTTCAGCTGGTTCCCCTAGCCCAATAACCGTAACAAACAGTGCAATCCTACCATTGCAGGCAACAGCAGTTGCTCGACCACAGCCCCGCGCCTATCAAACGAGACAGCAGCCAATTATAATGCAGAGCGTTAAATCAACGCAGGTACAAAAGCCTGTGCTTCAGACAGCTGTAGCACCACAATCTCCGGTAACTACTTCGGCTTGTAATTCCCCTGTACACATCCTAAACGCACCACCTTCGTATCCACAGAAATCAGTTGCTGTTGTACAGCAGCAAGTGCAAGCACAACAACAATCTCCTCTGTTGGCTGGTGGAATGCCAACTACACTCATTACTTCTAAGCCAGTTCCGCCTACTCCTACTACGCCGCCACTTAATGGTGCAGTGGTGAATAAACCGCCTTGTATCGAACCACCGTCATATGCGAAGAGTATGCAAGCAAAAGCAGCGCAGCATCACCAACATCAACAGCAACAACAACAACAGCAGGCTGTTGTTGCCGCAGCTGTTGCAGCGCAGCAAGCACAACTGCGTGCTGCTGCTGCAGCTCTAGCTGCGCAACAAAAGCAAGCAATTGCAGCGCCACCAGTAAGTAGCCGACAATTACCGCCACCACCACCGTACCAGAGTACACGTGCGGCAGCACCACCACCACTAATAAATTCAGATAATAACAATATGGATATGGATATAAAAAGCAATGGCGGTTTGCATAATAACAATCCAAATATAAATTATAATTTAATTAACAATAATCATATAATGAATAGTAACCTGACAACAACGCCGCCGATACCACCCGCTAAACACAACGGTGGAAGCGGTGGTACAACAAGTTCGGGCAGTGGAGGAGGCTCTCCGGCAAATTCGGCATCAGTTGCTGGTGCGGGTGGTAAAGGCTCTGAAAATTGTAAAAAAATCAAACATGCCTCACCAATACCGGAACGCAAAAAAGTTTCTAAAGAGAAGGAAGAAGAGCGTAAGGAGTGTCGAATACGACAATATTCTCCACAAGCTTTTAAATTCTATATGGAACAACATATCGAAAATGTACTCAAATCCTATAAACAGCGCACGTTCCGTAAGAATCAATTGGAAAAAGAGATGATAAAAATTGGACTCTCAACGCAAACCCAAGTCGAAATGCGCAAAATGCTTAACCAAAAGGAGAGTAATTACATACGCCTGAAGCGTGCCAAAATGGATAAGAGTATGTTTGTAAAAATTAAACATATAGGCGTGGGTGCATTTGGAGAAGTATCTCTGGTGAAAAAAATTGATACAACAAATCATTTATATGCCATGAAGACGCTGCGAAAGGCCGACGTTTTAAAGCGGAATCAGGTAGCGCATGTGAAAGCAGAACGTGATATTTTAGCAGAAGCCGATAATAACTGGGTTGTTAAGCTGTACTACAGTTTTCAGGATAATGAAAATCTATATTTTGTGATGGATTATATACCAGGTAAACTGAAAATACAAATATTTTGTAATAACATGGATATATTTGATATGTATTCCTAAAACTTTTAGGTGGAGATCTTATGTCATTATTAATTAAAAAGGGTATCTTTGAAGAACCATTGGCTCGATTTTATATAGCAGAATTAACTTGCGCAGTAGAAAGTGTGCATAAAATGGGTTTCATTCATAGGTAGGCATTTAAAAATTACACACATATATATAATGAATGGAACAAATTTATAATGTCTTTACAGGGATATAAAACCTGATAATATACTCATCGATAGAGACGGTCACATAAAACTAACTGATTTTGGATTGTGTACTGGTTTT